CTATGTGTTAACGATCTGTTAATGATCTAACCTCATGTCTGTACCCGACGTAACACCATCGATTAATTACAAGTGTTCAAGGTAGGATTTTTTTGTTGCCTTTGCCATCTAATATCTATTATCTATCAACGGCCATAACTATAAAAAAAAAAAAAATAATAGCAACGATTGTTTCCTCATCGTTATCGAGCATTGTGTTGTCAATCCTCGACACCGCGTTTGTTTCATTATAATCTAACTACCTACTATATTTTGTTAATAGACGTGTTTCAATAAAACCTTTTGACAATTTTTCCTGTCCTGCAGTCTGTACACACGGGTAAGCTTAACGTTKAAATTAATTAACTCGACTATAGGCAAAAGGTTGAATTGCACTCAAATATTAAATATTATGTTGGTGGAAAGATGAGGTCCATAACGTTCGAACCCAACTCATTTTGTTAGTTTCTCATTTTTTCGACTGTAGCCATATTTCCTAGTGCTCACTTTTGATTCACCAGTTTATTTTAACCATTACCTGCTTTAATCAGAGAACAATATTTAAATGTTTTCAATTACCTAGTTTGTTATGTGAAGTTTGACAGTCACATTTTAGTTTTTTGTGTATAATTTACTATTCTATTCGATAAAAAGTTGATAATTTGACTACCTATGAAGGTACTCAATAGCTTTTAAATTGTAATGATAGATCGGTAAATAGACACAAGGTTTATTTGAGTAAACATTTTTTTTTATCATTTAAGTGTCACTTTACTTAAGCCCTCTCTCTAAAATGTTGTTTAATTTAATTTAGTTCTTTCTTATATTTTATATAAAGCTACAATATAATTTATGCTTATTTTAAAAATGTTCCTTTATAAATTAAACAACCAATACCTAGATTTAAAAAAAAAAAACCTTTTTATAGTATAATTTTTACCGTACCTATGTAAATAGTTTTATTTTTGAGTAGGAGTGGTGCTGAACGCATACTTCAGGTAGTTAACCCTCAGCCTTCAAAATTGGTTGGGCCGGTAATATAATAGAGTATACTTCCTAATTTTGCTGCTATAATTTTATTAAACACAGGAATATCATTAAATTTTGTATATATATTTATATAATTAGTTAAATCTGTTTCTTAGTTGTTTGAGGGGATGGGTAGGTCAATTGAAATATTTAAACAGCCAGTTTCAATTTCATTCGGCGCCTCTATTGAGTAGAATTGTTTATTAGGAAAAAGCATGTATGATGGATAATTTTTTAAGAGATATTCTGTGCTATCTTTATACAGTTAATGTAGGTTTGTGTTGATCCTCCCCATTTAATTATACCATATTCTATTATAAATTTATATAAGGCAAAATATTAATTTTTAATCAATGCAAATTCAAAAATTGTTTTGTATAATCATTTTTAATGTGATCCTAAAATAGATTTTTTCTAAATATTCCTAGCCTCAACTGCCAGCAAACATTCGCTGTATACTATTCTAATTATTTTATCACATGAAATTAAACATATTAAGTTACTTAAATAAGAGTGTTATGTTTTTTTAATTGTTTATTGTAGATGCAGATGGTAGATAAAGATATAATTCAAATATTGGACAAATACAATCAATATCCAAATAATATTATGTTGATATGATTGAAACTGAAGCAATAGTTATGAGTAGTAGAAGAAGAATGGTGCTCAAACCACTTTCTGCTCCTGCAGCAAATTTACATTGTAAAGAACAGAACTCCTCCAATGATGAAAATAAACATACTATGGTAAGTTTATTGTATACTTTATATATGTAAATTTAATTATTAAGACTAATTTTTGAAAAGTTGCTATTATTATTTCAAAATTAATGTTTTTGATTAAGTTATTTTACGTTATTTATTCATTGTTGTAAATTTAACTGTACTAATAATTTTTGTTTTTTTTTTTTAAATATCACTTATCTCAAATAAGTATTATTTGTTTATTAAAGATTTTGGCTTTACTTTTTTGTTATTATTTTTCGTGGCATTTATCACTTAAACATGAAAAATATAGATTTATTTAACTTAGGGTTGTCAGATATCTGAGTTGGTAGATTGATAGCAGTGGCGTACAATTTTAAAATGTATTACTACATTCCTCATAAGTTGACATTAGTGTAAATTTAATAAAAAAGTTGAGCGTAAATCCACAATAATTTTTTATTATCGGAAATTTAAATTTTGACGAAACTCATATTTATATAATATTCTAAGCTTTGAAAATTTAATACAAGATTCCTTTTAAGTTTTCCTTTATTTAGCAAGAAATATGTACCATAAAGTCTAATTCTTTTTTACGAGTGTTCAAAAGAAGACCTGTTCAAATACAACACAACTTTATTGTTAACACTGTATTTACAGTTGAGTGTAATATGTTGTGATGACGTTGGTCTGGCAAAAGCTGGCAGCGCAAACAACTGCGACAATTGAATGTTAATAAATTCTTTTAAAACCATTTTCTTATTTTGTTGTTATTAAAAATCTAATTATCTTATGTATTTGAAATTTTTATTTATTCATTTATTTTATCATAATATTTTCAAAATATTTGAACTCATTTTGAGTTATTAATGGTCATTTGAAATTTTTTTGTTCCATTAATCCCAATGGTTTTTTGTTTTTTGGTTAAAATGGTTGTAAATGTAATACAAGATTTTTCAATTAGTTTGCCTGGTTAACCTAACCTAACCTAACCAATAAGGATGATTAACTATTTACAAAAAAAGTCTACTGTTGTCATTTTAAACTACTTTAAGAGATCTCTCATAATATAATATTTATTTGTTCATACTTGCGCTGCACACAAATGTTTATTTAATTATATTGATTATTATTTTAAAATTTCAGTATACTTAATGATCTTGTTAATTATGATGTTTTAAGTTTTTTTTTAATAATATCACTTATTTGTTGTTTATAGATTCAATCACCTGCTACACTCATTTCTCCAAAAAATGACAGAAAAAAAATTTTGTTTCAAGACGCCGCTATTCTTTCTGAAGCAATACCTACAGTACAGCGTAATAAAGTCTTATTATCATGTACAATTAACAAAGATTTGTCAGATTCTGATGATTCTGATTCTGAAGATTCTACAATCAATAATGTATCTCTGAATAAATCACCAAAGAGCAAAACAAAACTATATTATTCTATAATTATGTTTTTATGTTGGGCTGCTATTCAGTACTGGATGACTGCTGTAGTTGGTTTTGGAGCAGTATTTTTTGTTATCTCTGCTCTTATTGCTATGTATTTTAACACATCAAACTCAAAAAAAAAACAAAATGTTTTAAGTGCATACTCTGTGTTTAATCCTCAATGTACACCTATTCAGGGATCTGTAGATCCAAAACAATTGGAACGTGAGCTGCTATTTGGTTAGGTTATATTAAATCAATAAATATTATATTATACTTTTTCAATTATTTATGGTGTCTAACTTGTTACTAAAATTTAGAACACAAATTTTGATTCAAATATTATTCTAACATAGTTATTTGTTTATACAATAGGCATTTTTAAAAGTTTCTGGTGTAGTATGTTATATATTTTTATATTTTTCAAAACTATTTTATATTTGTATTAAAAGTATGATATTAGTGATGATTTGTGCATTTAAAATGTATCACTTATTATCTGTTTAAAAAATTGCAAATTTTAACTTTTATAAATTGATATATATTTTAGTATGTATTTGTATGGTCTGTTTAATGTGTATACTATTAATCATAAGTTTACATTGTTGTAAGCCATATTGTGACATTGTGTTATCAATAGCCATTTACTTTGGTTAATTCAGAACTTTGTTTGTAACTGTAAAGCAAGTGTGGATCCAGCCTACATATTTTTAAAACAAGAGATAGGTTTTAAAAAAATTATGAATATATTCACCCTATATACAAATCTCTCATTAATTCTTTAATTATACATATTTTTTTTAAATTCTGATGTTTAACAATTTTTATGATGTATTATAAAATAAAATTTCTCAGTTTCCTTAATTGGATCACTGTTTGCTTTACAGTTTTGATATTATCTAGTTAATATTGATTCATTATTTCATCCAATCATAGAAATATAATTTTATAACAGTTATTGTTAGTTTATTGTTATTGTGATTGGTGATTTCATCTTAACTGTCTTGTGTATAAGTTTTATGTATTGAATTTTTAGTAATATATTGGTATAATAAACATCCAAAAAATAATATATTCAATAGTATTATAATGAAATAGCTGTGAATTCAAATAAAGTATTTTTAACATACTTTTAAACATTTTAAAGAACTATATTGTTTTACCATTGTTTATACTTACAACTGTAGCGTCCCACGCTCGTGTGACTGTTCAGTTMACATCCTGCTATTCGTGCCACACATAATCTCAATAACCCGATGCCCTTATTAGGTATCAAAATGATTTCCTACCAACACGATAATTTGGTACAATGAGTTTCTCTTATTTTTATATTCTACTCACACCGGCTATCGAGGTTTGACACAACGTGATAGGTGGTGAAATCATATGCCCAGGGATACTCTCGTACATCTACGTGTAAAAGTGTATTTAGTAGTCTTACATAGCACAACGAAAACTAAGTTAAAATGATACATTTTCAGTAAATGGTTTAAAATATCAAATATATTTTAGATTCTGAACGAAGTGATGAATGTATTGATTTTACAATGATGAGTGTTTTTTTTTTTGTGTCTGTGTACAACATAACTAGCCGAAATAATGCTTCAATTTCAAACTTTGGGGTGGTTTCCGATGTAAAAGTGAATATTCTTGTTGCATTATAGAGGTGTTAGTGATATATATATACAGTTTAATTTCCAAAAATTTCTGACTTTTTTTGAGTTATTTATAGACCACTGAAATTTTC